GTTTCAGAGAAAGGTCTTTCCCTGCGCGAAAGGTCAGCCGTATTTACGTGTGAAATACCTACGGTCAGGTGGATCAAATACCACCTGAGCTGATATTAACCTTTCCGTTTCCGCCTGGTTCTATTATTTCCGTCTTCCGTCTTTCCACTTTCTCGCCTAACGCGAAAACTTCTCAACAATGAACGGGCAACTTCGGAAAACAAGGGTAAGTCGGTTCTTTTAATGATCGAATCAACTTCTTAGCAAGCTTAACTCTTTGCACTCGAGATGTGACTTAATTCGATATAATCATCAAATTTCGTATATAATATTCAATTTTGTATAATGCATCAATACGTGAAATATTGAAACAAAATAGCTTTCTTATTGACTTATGTATATTTTCTCTTTATTTGGTTTCAAAGAATGTCGTCTATCTCATCGGAAAATGTTGAGTGTATCTAGTAAAAACTTTCGATTGCGAAAGGTTAAATGATGCTGATCGGTTGAATGAGATAAAGATCACAGAATGAGGAACAAGAAAGTTGAATCATTATTCTTCGAGTTTAAACGAAAGTCAGAAGAAATCGAAAAATTGAAAGATACAAATACTTCTATGGGAAATAATCTGCGATCTAAAGATCACAGAATGAGGAACAACAAAGTTGAACCATTATTCTTCGAGTTTAAACGAAAGTCAGTTAGAAGGAATTGAAAAGTTGATAGATACAAATACTATGGGAAACGATCGATAAAAGTCGATTTAGTACCTAAACTGAAATGTAAGTCGCTTGAAATTTTAATAAACGCACGTTTGTAGTTTCTATAAACAAATATCAATAGTCAGTTCGAGTGCTCGGTAGTTCTAGAGTTAAAGAACAATCGTTGATGTTAGATGATTAGGAAACGAGAATGGTGGCGGATTGAAAAGCGGTCGAGCGAGGTGCGGGTTTTATTTTTGGTTGCTGATCGAACCGACGAGTGGCAACAGTCGATCGATCCGGTATTCGAATACCGCGGGCGCATGGAATTTCGAGTATTCGCGTTTTACGGGTATTCGATCGGTATGCCCGGGATGCTTTTTTTAAACGCGAGTCGAGTCTTCTACCGGGAATACTGTTCTTCCACATTTTGAACGAATATCGTGAAAAATTTGATTCTTTCGACTCTCAAACGTTTAGAATAATTAAATTGCGTGCCAGATTAACGAATACAATGAGAATACCGAAACTAACGAGTGAAAAGGGAAAGAAATAGAAGAAACAACGATCGTTAACACTAGAACTACCGAGCATTTGATACGATTGAAATGTAATCGCTATGAATATTGTAGTAATAGATTATTTTCGGTTACTTCAGACATTCATTATAGTATTCAAGTGAAACAATTTATTTTCAAAATCATTTCGAATATTCAACGCTTTAAGTGAAATTTCTTTTAAAGGCTAGCTTAAACGATCATTCCTGGAACATTTTTCCTGGAAACAAGAAAATTTCTCTGTTTCGTTATTATTAATTTTTTCCATTTTTTCGTCGAACTATCGAAGACCGGTTGCCAGGTTTCCAGGCTTTACGCGTTCGAGCGGCTTATATAATCGGATTAATATATCGATCGACGGGCCGGCCGACCTGTTATCGTCGTTATTGAATTTCTATCGAAATGGACGCGGAATAGTTCTCAGTGGTAGTTTGTTTATTAATCGCACGATCGTCGCCGAATTTCAGTGGGTAGCTTCGATTGTTGATCGAGTAACGAATGTACAATCGCTGGATCCTTGAACAGGATTCTTGATTGCGACAGGAGCTTCGTGGGAATGGAAACGGCGACGGTAATTAAATTTCTAATGAATTCTTAATTACACTGGAACAGGGGCATTAATGACAGTAATAATATTCGGGCTACAAGGGCGGCAAGGACGATCGTGGAAGTAATGAAAGAATTATCGATGATTCTAGCGGAGAAATAAATAATAACCAATGATTAATACTTTTAAGTCTACCAATAAATGAATCCGATAATTCTATAGAAATATGTATTATAAAAATATATATTAATTCAACATAAAATAGTAAAGTTTCTTTGCCAATGTACAAACTAAAAATATCAAGAATATATCAATGAAATAAATTTTCCTTAAAATAAATTATATAAATGAAAAATTCAGTGAGTAATCGAAACATATCGATTAAGACGAATTCTAAATACAATGGGAATAGTAAAGATCGCGGCAATACTTAGAAAAATAATTAGAATAGGAACAAAGCGAGTGGATGATCCAATAAACAGGGGCAAAGCTTTTTACGGGCTGAATCGAAAGTCTTCTTCGAGTATCGATCGCAGGTGGCTCACGTGCGGCCCACACGGGAAGAAACTTTGCGTTTAAAAATGTCGGTTCGGTTTAAAAAAAAAATATAGAACAAAGTGTTCGCTCGCGTGGTCTAATTATAGAATCCTGTCGCGGCAACAGCTGACGATTGAAAAATTCCTTGGAAGGCTGGCGTTCCGTTCCACGCGATGATTAGTTAATTAGCGAAGTTGCCGAACGTTGGATTCACGACAAACGAGTTATTGTCTATCGGTTAGACAGTACGACAGAAGTTCGTAACTGCGTCTGCGGTTCCGGGGTTGTCGTGAATGTATAACCAACAGAGGGACAATCTACTTAGAGGCAGCCGCTGTTTATCTTATAGCGAAATAATGCATCGCGACACCGCGCGGAATCTATGCTCGCTTAAAGTAATATTAGACGAGTGAACTTTGTGACTTGTCTGACCTGTACAGGGACACTCTACTTATGCAATTATTGTCTACTTTCTACGAAACTTGAACAGAATGCAAATCGATAAGCTGGTTTAAGTGGTTCTGTATGTCGTCTAATCTATCATGAGAATCTTTGCAAACAAATGATTCGTATAGAATGTAAAGTATCAGTGAACCGAAGGCTGTAATGAGTCTAGTAGGACGAATATTTCAACTAATAACGAACGAGAAGTTTCTTCGATTAATTCAGGAACGAGCCACTGGCGAGAATTTTGGGCATAGGAACGGACAGCGCGGTTTTTCATCGGGAAAGCCATAGAACATTTCTGCAAATGTGCTCGGCATTGATTATCTAAATATAGAAACAGCCAGTAGAACGTACAGTCCGGCGTGTTTCACAATTGATTGCCACCGGTACGTGTGTGTTCGCAATTAAGCCTCGCGATTTCACGGCTCGAAAAATATGTTGGCGTTCCTGTCCCACCGAGATAACATTGATTTCATCTCGATCCTTCGGCAAACATCCGTGTTTCTTATTTATCGCCGTGAACAAGTTTCTACGACACGTCGTATCTGATCGCGACGAAAATTACTTGTTCGAGTATTTGCACTGCACTTCCTCGACTTTCATTAAGAATATACTGGACCACCGTGAATCATGTTTATACATCAATCGTATTAAACGTTGAGAAATCTATTGAAGGATCTATGGATAACGTAGCTTTTCAAAATTCGCGAATCATTTCGTCGAAGGTCAAAGACGCGCTGATACTGATGATCTTTGACCCCCGACGAAGACAGCTGCAATGATGACCCGTAATAATTATAACCTCTCAGGTCGTGGAAGCGTGAAATCGTCGAATCGAATGAAGCATCGGTTATTCCTGAAATACGAGAGGTCAGTACTGTCTGTCTTTATCGCGAGCAACGGCAAAAATAAATTGACCCTTGCAGGTTTAACGAGACGACCCACGAAAATCGGAACGTTCGCGGAGATCCGCTTGAGAACAGAAACTTCTTTCGGAGATTGGGTGTACGAAGTGAATTCGAATGAGTTCTCCCGGGGGAAAGTTTCGAGGAACTCTGGGGAACGATCGAGGATGAGGGACACACTCGAAAATCCCATGAATTCGTCGGTTGTGCCAATTGTTCGGCGTTCGATCGCGAAACAGGGGCACGCCGAGGCCCCAGAATTCAATGACCGCAATTCCACTGTCCGGAAGAAATCGGCTCGGCGGTCCGCTTTAAGCTTTACTGCACTTTATCGGAAATTCTGTCGTGTGTCGCGGACTGGCCGTGCAAGGGGATCGATTGCCGACAAAGGCCTAGGAAATTGCGTCTTAAAATCCGCCTTGCGGGCTTCGGTTCCTACGGTCGACCAATGGCTCGCGGTTCTCCATTGAAATGCCTAACGCGCACACGAAAACAATCCGTCGAACACGAATTTCCATTCGTTGCTCCGTACTCTGAGACAATAGTAAACCGATAGAATGCATAAATATTCCGTTATTACCCTAAAAGGCGACCATAATTTCTTGAAACACGAAGAAAACGGGGAACTACTCGTTGATACCGTTCTAACGATCTCAAAATCCAAATTGAACAACTCGGAGCTAAATACGGAAGAACTCGGGTTCAAATTTTCATCGGACACCTCGTATTCTGTGAGAAGTAACTATATAATCCAAACAATCATTAATATATACAAGATTCTATAGACTTCTATAGATTCCTTTCCGAAATCCGTTTCAAACATTAGCAACCCTGCCACCCATCACTTCAACCAGACCTATCTAATCTTCCACCCTCTAAACCGTTCCCCAAATTTTCCAGGAATGCCCCTTGTTTCCGTTCCACATCAAAACATCCAATAATCATTGTTAAAATTCAAAGAGAAAGGCTTCAATCCACGTCCCCTACAATTCACTGGGGTATATAAAGAAGCTCTTCAGCTAAGAATCTCCATTCCCGGTGACACACATTCGACGACGTCCAAAGAAGCTAGCCTACGGGTAGCTAAATCGAGTCCTGAGCAAAAATCGAGCCCCGGAGTTCTTCGTTTAACGATCCCTGCAAGCTAGAAGGTTCTGAAAGCCTTCGAAAGACCTTGGTCTCTAGCAGGTGGACGTTAAGCTCTCTGGCCAGAGTCGGACTCGCGGGAATGGTTCCTTAAACCGCGGTCTATTGCGAGTTCCTCGGTTCCTGATTATCCACGGGCGAAAATCACTGTGCGCGATGATTCCAGGTGGTTTCTACTCACATGTCGTTCGTCGCTCGCTTCTGGTTTCCTCGGCTAGAGCAATCCGCTGGCCTGGCAACCCCGTCAGATGACCGCGTACTTTTCACGAGTGACTGTCAGCGACTAGACGGCCGCGGTATTGATAAAATTTCCAGCGGCACCGCCGCGATATCGCCGCCGCTTCCACAGCGATACCTCGATCGACCACGGACCCTTCGAACCTCTTCCTCGCACCGTCGTTTTAATCGGCGATCCGCTAAACGCCCGCGTCCCCTTTCGATTCGACGTCGAGGAACCGCTCGCCGCAACCGATTATCAACGGAAAATTCGACGTCTCCAGCGTTTCTCGCGATTAAAAGTATTCCCCGATCGCCCGCCGAGGCTCCAGTCGATCTATCGAACCTCGATTCAAGGTTTCGAGACCCCGTTGCGCGCATGCACCGGAGTTTTCAGTCAATAAACGCGACACAGCTGCAACCCTCATGCGCAAACACACCCTGAAGCCGAGGACTCAGGGCTGTTCCCAGCGAGTCGCCGACCCTGGGGGTGTGTTTGAGAAAATAGGACAACGACCGGGTGTTGTTGGGAGATTTTTAGGGTGTTTGGAACCTTTTCTGGTCGTTTTCGGAGTTTTTGTATGGAGAATGAGGATTGTTTTTAGGGAATTAGGGGATAGCCGGAGGTGTTCTTAGAGGATGGCAGCGGGATATTCGTTTCGTAGGGTTGATAGAGTTGATTTTTCTTGTGGCTGTTTCGAGGGGAAGGTGGTACGGTCCTGGGGATGCGATGGGAGTGCGCGCACGAGCATCCGCAGGATATTTTATTTATGTTCTTTGCGATTTTTGCGGTGAGACCTGGGTGCCGTGAACTCCGCTCCGCGAAAATGTCGTCCACGGTTTGTGAAACGAAGGGAAAGATGGCTGGTTTATGCGGTGAGTTCATATTTAAATTGGAAATGATATTTTTTTGTTGTAGTTTTTGGGGGAATTTGTTCGTGATTTTTATTGAGAATTTCAACATTTCGATGGATAGGGGTAGTTTGTCTTGCGAAGACTGATTCTACTTAGTCGGTTATGTGTTGTATTCAGACATTGAATTCTTTTGGATTGTTTTTGCATTTTCAGTGTTAATGCTGATCTTGTGCTTCATTGTTTAAATTAAATTAATTTATTTATAGTTCAGGTGGAATTTTGTTTGACAATAGGAGACATTTATTCTAGGCAAGAATCATTCGAGAATCCTTCTTATGTCACGAAAATTCATGCTTAATTGAAGTTTCTAGCGACTAATTAATTGTTTAATTATAGTGTGTATCGGTATCATCGCATGAAACGTATGTTTATAGTTCATACGCTGTATCAAGATGGCAGCACTCGTACTATTCAAGATTAGGAGGTTCGAATCTTTTTTAAAAATTTACGTCGCATTAAATGCCACAAAAGAGTGATTAATGATGTTGTTTCGTGAATGAATGATTAGATTAGAGGAACGAATTATTTATTGCGGTTGTGTTTAAAGAATATTATCAAAATAAACGTGACGTCATAGGTATCGCCATCTTTATCATGTGTCATTTACTGTTGTCGTGAAAGTGTGTTCGTCATCGAAACAAAGTTTGGAATACCTGTCATTTTATTTATAAGTAACTCGCATTCTCGATCGCTTCTTCTGCAGACCTCTTATTTTCATGTTAGTGCGTTAACCTTTTTCGTTACACTCAATAAACAAACGCATATATACTGGTACATTCTTTGAAATCTGTTTCAATTTAACGCTATATAATTTAACCATAGATACTCCTTATGTTTCTCTGCCGCTAATGATATATTCCTATTAAATTTATCTTTATTAAAGTTTTAAAAACAATGTCATAGTAACACGTGAGATTCCAGTAAATCTTGTTACTTTATAGTTTCCACAAGTTTTGAGGTTATGGGTGTGTACGGTAATTACCGTTTTACTGATTTTATGGAACCTTTAATTCATCAAACAATTTCTTCCTTACCATATTCTTATTAATATTTGCATTGCAGTAATTCTTAGTGCATACAGATAAACTATGAGATTGTGCTTTGTAATTAGTAAGTTTTATTTTTTCTTAACAATGAAAATTAATACAGGAAACATAGGTGCACCGTTTCACAGAATGTATTTGTGACTGAAGTATACTATTAAGAATTGTTTAATTGTGTCTTGTGTTTTATTATCAGATTGTTACATAAATTTATTGAAAAGTTTATCTAACATGTATATTTTTAATGATTACAGAAATATGGAAGGCAACAGTAGTTACAAAGAAGGAGAAATGGGTGGCCCAATGGGTGGTCCCCATAACCCACAACAAGCAGGGTCCACAAAGAAGCTGCAACAGACGCAAGCAACTGTTGACGAAGTTGTGGGGATAATGAAAGTAAATGTAGAAAAAGTTTTGGAAAGAGATCAGAAGCTCTCAGAGCTGGAAAATCGTGCGGATGCCTTACAGCAGGGGGCAACACAGTTTGAACAGCAAGCGGGAAAATTGAAAAGGAAGTACTGGTGGAAGAATCTCAAGATGATGATCATCATTGGCATTATCTGCGTGATCATTTTAATCATCATCATTGGTACGTAATGAACTATGCAATGTTTCTAATTTTGTAGACTGAATTGTGTTATCTCATTGTTTAATCTTTACGATAGCTTCGCTTGTGCCCAGCTCATCTTCGGAACCCACTAGTCCTGCTAATAAGTGATAGCATTATACCAAAGGGGATGTAATGCTTGGGTTGTTAATACTTGTTTTAGAACAACATTTAACTATGATGATGTAAGTGTTGGGCAAAACAACATTTAAGTATAATACAATCTGCAGTCTTATAAGAGAAACCACAATACTAGCCAGAAATATGTGTGTGCATATACACGCATATATATTTTTGAGACTTAAATTTATCTGAAATGCACAATAATTAGACTAACTGCAGCATTAATACGGGTGGCCTTTCTTTTTTTTTGTCGTAAAACTGTATACAGACAATACATTTCATAATGTTATCTTGTTAAAATGCTTACTGTACATTTATTAATGATATATAATATATAATATAATGTTTATACTT